CTTCCAAAATATTATTTATTTAGGTCTAACGGCTATTTCTGGGTTATTTCAAGATTATTGAAATCGCCCATCCTAAGAATACTCTCGCATGAGCATGCTTAACTTTGAGTTTCAAAATTATTATGCATTAATCCCTCTTGTGCAATTGTGGAACACTAGCCTGATGGTGGAAAAGAAAAGTGCCCCACAGGACTATTTTGGCACTTCACTCCTATAATTAACTACTCATGAAATAACTTCTTTTTTTATAAACTAAACTATAAGAAATTTTGTTAGATTTAAAGTTACAAAATGTGAGATAATTTCTAAAGCATAACTTCAAATTATAAGCAATTTTCTAATCCTTCAATTTCATCAACCGACTACTTGTTATGGACCAATAAAAAATTCAACATCTAATAAATAAGATGGATGTTTACTATGTTGAGCCAAACCGCTGAAGGGCAAACTCCACCTCAACACCATTAGTCCATAGTTAAAATAAACTATGCTTTTCTTACTGGTCTAAACTATAAGTCATGTTTCAATAAAAATTCACCTAGGCCAATTGATAATTTTTTAATTTATTTTTATTTTTAAGAGACATTTACAACAAAAACAACAACAACAACAAGCCTTTATTCCACTATGTGGGGTCAACAACATGAATCTTTTTTCTCCATTGCATCGTATTGAGTGTCAAGTTATCATTTAATTTTAATAAATTAAGATCATTTTTATACAGTAAGCTCAAGTTTTTCTTAATATAAGTTGTATTTAAAACATCTATTATTCTCCTAAAGGGATCATCAGATGGTCGATGTTTAATGTGACCAAATCATCTAAGACGACTCTCTCTAATTTTGTCTGCCACTGGAGCAACACCAAGCCTATCACAAATATATTCATTTCGCATTTTGTCTCCAAATGTAAAGCCACTCATCCACCTAAGCATTCTCATCTCGACAACATTTAACTTAATTTTATGCTTCTCTTTTAAAGGCCAACATTCTTGGCCATAGAGCATTGCGGGTCTCATTATCATCTTATAAATTTTCCTTTCCGTCTAAGTGATACTTTTCTATCAAACAATAAGCTTGAAGTATTCCTCCACCTCAACCAACCAGCTTGAATCTACTAATAACATCCGTATCTATATCACTATCACTTTGAACGATAGAGCTGAGATATCTAAAGTGTTCACACCTTGATCACCCATAGTTATAACTCTATCATTAGAGCTACTATTGCTAAAATTAAATTTCATGTATTCAATTTTAGTTCTAATCAAACAAAGGCAAAGACTCCAAAGTAGACCTCCATAATTCAAGTTTTTTTTTGTGAACTTTTATTCTAGTCTTATCCACAAGAAGGATATCATCAACAAAAAAACATACAACAAGGTACATCCTCCTGTAAATGTCCGGTAAGAGCTAACTAAAGCAAAAGATATGGTTTTAAAGCCGAAACCTGATAATCCAACTGAAATTGGAAAATATTTGGCCAATCCTCCTTCTGTTCGAACACAAGTAACGACCATGGTGTTCATATCTTTAATGACTTGAATATAAGTCATATCAACACATTTATTCTTTAACACTCTCCAAAGGATATCTCTTCGAATCTTATTGTAAGTTTTTTTCTAAATCAATAAAAATCTTATGTAGATGCTTCTCATCCTCTCTGTACTTCTTCATAAAAAAAGTATAGCTTCCATGGTAGACCTGCTTGACATAAATCCAAATTGATTATGAGAAATTTTTGTAATATGTCTAACCTATGTCCAATTACCCTCTCTCATAATTTTAAAGTATGACACATCAACTTAATTCCTTTATAATTTGCGCATTTTTTTGTGCATCCACTTTATTATTAAAAATGGGGACCAAAATATTCTTCTTCACTCCTCAGACATCTTTTTAGTTTTTAAAATAATATTAAAAGGTTTAGTTATCCAAGAAACTCACAATTCTCCTACATATTTCCGTACTTCAACTAAGATATTATCAAGTCCTACAAAATTTCCACCCTTGATTTTCTTTAAAGCAACACCAACTTCTTTTTTACTAATGCGATGATTAAAATGAAACATTTTATTATTATTAACAATATTAAGATTACTAAGGTTAATTGTATTTTCAAAAACTTCATTGAAAAATTTATTAAAATAACTCAACCATATACATTGAATAACTTTTTCTAAGACAAACACTTTTTTATTTTTATCTTTAATACATTTTATTTAAGTTAAATCTTTAATATTTTTTTCTCTTTGTTTGTCTAGTTTATATATTATATTTTTCATATATATATATCACCATCTTCAATATCTAATCTATTATAAAGATCACCAAAAGTGGAATTTTTAGCGTCATATATTGTTCTCTTAAACGCCCTATGAGTCATTTTATATTTTTTCCATTTCTCTAAACTTTTACATTTCAACCAATTTTAATAACATAATTTTTCATATCCTATCTTTTCTTGCACATTATAATTCCACCAACAACTATTTTTGTTTATATAAACTCTTATTTTTTATTTTTCAAGTGTATCTTTTCCTACATATTTAATAGTGTTTGCTACTTTATCCCACACATAAATTGCTTCTTCATAAACATCTCAAATCTAGAAAACTTGAAGTTTACTCATAAAAATAATTTTATTTCTGTCTTTTAGATGCCCCCATCTAATTTTATGAAGCTTTATAAAAAAAAATTATGAGAAATTTGAGCGAATTTAATCTCAAAGCGTGCACACTACACTTATAAAGCTTTGAACACAATCTCTAATTTGAAAACCCAAACACTAAACAAACAAACTAAAAGTGACTTACAAGTAAAATTTAAATAAAAAAAAAACACAAGAAAAAATAAATACTTAGTTTTATGCAACCAACTAAAAATTAAAATGAAAACTAAAAAAGCATGATAAACATACCCGTGTCCTATTGAGTGTCATTTTTTTATTTAAATATAATAAATTAAAATATTTTTTATAGAACATGCCCTAGTCTTTTTATGTCCATCTTTACTCATTCTTAACATAAGCCAAATAAAAAACATCTACTCTTCTAACCGGGTCATCAGATGGTTGATGTTTAATATGACCAAACCATCTAATGCAAATCTCTCTAATCTTGTTTGCCACCGGAGGTACTCCAACCTTTTCAATATTTACAAAACTAAAAAAAAATAAAATAAAAAGAAAAACAGAGCGATTGAAATTAATCAATACCAATAAAAACAATCAGAACACCAATCCAACAACTGCAAATTGCAGGCCCACCCAGGAAGAGAAAATTCAGGTAAAAGCCTTTCAATCTTCATGCAAAAAAGGTTGGTAAGGAGCAGAACTGACATTATTTATACAGGAAGGCACAGAATTGACAAGTAAAGAAATGCATTCTATGAGAAACAGAGGCGTCAAAATTTCTCTCTTGTCAGCTTTAATGGCTTCTCTTTTGAAAGTGGCTGGTCACTGCTGGAAGCTGTGAGCAAGTGATGATCCAGTTGCTCGTCATCACTCACTTCCAAGGTTGAAGCATATGAACCCGTTCCATCTTCTAGCATTTAATATATTCCATCAAAGGAAAGCTTGTGTTAGATCTTAGAAAAAATTTTGCTTCCAGAAACTGAAGTATTTTTTTCATTCAAAATTATAATGAAATTTCAAAATAGAAAGACCAGTGCGAAGTGGGATTCATAAAAATGAATTCGTAATGCTGGTTTTCATGGATCTTCCTTCGTTAAACTTAGCCTCATGTGTACCAGCAGGAAAGGATGGCATAGATACAGCAAAAACACCAAGCAATCAGGTTAGTGCTAGTGGTGTACAAGAGCCGAGCTTGAACGAGCTGAGAATCTGTTCTTGTCGCATCTCTTACTTTTTAAGCGACAGAGTAGATTCTTATTGACTTAAGGTTTCAGTGAATCTCGCTAAAACTAACAAAAATAAGCAGTAAACACCAGCTTACCTGAGAATGCTGGGTAATCAGTTAAATGCCTGACAGTTGTGACATTAATGTTTTCTGGTAGAATGCAATTGCACAAAGAGCCTGAAACTTTCAAAAGCAGACAAATTAAGAAAATTGAAAATTGCAGGCGCTGAGAAACTCTATTGAATATATTTTTACCAATTCTGGCGAGCCGATTCACCCATCCTGGAACAGGCTTTCCGGTCAGGTGCATACAGACGTCATTAGTGAAATGATTGCAGTTTTTCGCTATCAAATTGTACGTGTTACCGTGATACTTTCGGGAAAGTTGTTCGATGAATGATCGGAACTCATCTGGAGGCATGTCAGTGGTGCCCAACCACACAGTACGTCTGTAGATAAAGCCAGGACAGCCTCTGGGTTCTACCTCAAACACTCCACTTGTTGGGTAGTCATGGGCTCCAAAGCCATATTCCATGCCATGAACTGACTTGTTATGTAAAATAGAACTATAAATTATTGATTGAAAAGAAAAACTTACAAAGTTATGGGAATTATGAAATTGCGATTCAGCACAAATGCTTTAAAGAATGGATTTTAGCCATCATCATCAAATCTGATATTTACTTTTAAGGAATTTCACAAAGCAATGTTCGAGTTTCAGGAAAAATATTTCTTTTTACCATTGTAATGTTAGCTTACCTGACCAAACATATATTTGCGTGTGTGTGTGTATTTGATAAAGGTGACAACAATGAGCTGTATGCTTATGCATAACAGTATAAGAAGAGCTTTAGCCATAGAAAGACAATCTTTACAAGAAATTCTCTTAAATCTCAATCCGCCTATGCACCGTAGACGCCAATCCAGAATTTAAGCTGTAGTATCAACTAGTAAATAAGAATAGAATACTAAATTACATTTTATTGAAGGATTTGACATCTGGCTTCTCCTTTGGAGGCAAAGGGCAGCAATATTATTGTGTTTTGCACCTTTTAATCTTCACAAAGGCTACATACGGATGGCCCATCAAGCATAATGGAAGACGAGTAAACATTGATGGATGAGGAAATAATTGACAGAGGCTAGGATAGAATCTGGAGAACAAATTGAAATCTAATTTCCATTCTCAACATGCAATATACAAAAAAATCTGTAGAGATGTGCATTCCAAAAAGAAAGAAAAGGCGGTCTCTCAAGAGAACACTAACTTATACACAAAGCCATCGGGTGACATGGGTTCCAAAAATCCGTGCCCTAGCCTCCCTCAAAAAATGAATGAAGGGTGTTATGTAATATTCTAGGTTAAATTTTCCAAAGACATGCGACAGTGGATAAGATACTACTAAAAAGTTTTGCCTTCATTTTCTGAGGACCTTAATATCTGGGGTTTGAGGTTTCTTAAAAAAGGTCATATGGTTTTACCCCTCCTAATAATAGGAAAACACTTTTGATTAAGATTAATCATATCATGGAATTGATCACATAGCATATAGTAGCAAAAATTTAAGTTTAGATTATAAAAAATTATCACTTTGAGTTTAAGATGAAATGATTGTCATCTCTATGTCATGGGCCCTAGTATAATTAATCCGGGGAGATAATAAACCCAATCGGACAGTCAATAATCATAGTTGCTTCATCTAAGGGGATCTTGTAGGTGTAGGGTGAATGTTTGTTTAAGAGGATAAATTTAAGTCGATCTTAGCTTACAGAGAGTTTTATACCCCATCAATTAACCCTATAATTCATAATTCAATGGCAAGAAAATTATTTGGGAAAATACGAGCTATAATTGTGACAGTAATGTAATGAAACCTACAGGACAAATAACCTGATTAGATGGCTCTGGACGTAACTGCTTCATTTGAGAAATCTACTGATCAAACCATGTGGACATGAAACTTGGGTTGGATCTTTACTAAGATGAAATTATTTTGAGTGTAATAATATATTTATACAACATTAGCTCTTTATAAGCTCAGGTTAACCTCAATTTTGGCATTCTAGATAAATGGTTGTGGAGGGCTAATGAAATTTACTTTTGACATGGGCAATATAATCTATAAGCAAAACAACCTGCTTGAGAGCGTGCAACATTTATTGATTTTGAGTTTAGTTAAAAAAAAGGTATTACAAAACTTAAATATTTGCATTAAATTCATCAAAATTCACCTTTTGTTTACTTACATGAATATTATGGTTTTGATGGAGATGAAAATATGTTAAGTTGAAACATTATATTCTGCTCAAATTTAACTCCAATTCGAAGGTCCAAATAAAATCTCATGGTGTTCCTCCTTCAACTTCAAATGATAATTCTTAGTTCTTACTTATCTATCTTCAGAAAAGATTTTAACATATGATTCTAGCAATTCATAAGGTCAATCCAAAATCTATTTAAGCTCCCCTATTGTTCTTAAATTTGTTCTTAATTCTCATTCATCATTATGAATATACATTCGAGTGCCCAATTTTTTTCAATTTACCTTATTCCTTTTTATTTAGTAATTTTTTTTTACTCCTTTAAGTCTCCCATTAGTAAAAATTTTGGCAACTCTCAGAAGTCTCCCCACGCGAGTGTTACCAAGGAGCTAAGCATTCTTACTCATTGATAAAACATGCATGGTTGGCATTTTGCAACACTGTGGTCATGTATCTTCTAACTTAACCGTTTGGAAAGCGTGCATAGGCCCTCAATACCTGCAAAAGAGGAAACAATTTTTTCGCCCTTTTTGGACAACGTGAACATGTAACTAGAATTTATTGCTTTTCTTGAATTATTGAAACAATATGTATGTAGTGTGTGTATGTATGTATGTATATGCTATTTTTTTTAGAAAGAAAATGATAATAGAGAATGAGAGAGAGTGAGATGTAGAGAGAAAAGAAGTGACTCTTCTGTGCTCGCAAGAGAGGAAATATGATTCTCTCTCAATTTAGAGAGAAAAGAGTGGAAGTGAGAGAAAGAGTAAGCTAGAAAGAAGTGGATAGAAGGCGGCAATACAGGATGGTTGGCTATGTACAGGTTTAACCAGGCGAGGGCGCTAGCAACAAATGCTTAGATTAGGGAGATGGGGGAGTTGCAGGGCTGCAATAGTTTGTGGGCTCGTGATATTTTAGGGCTTGGAGAGCCATGTGGCTAGGGTGAGTACAAGCAATGAGAGAGATGCATGGGACCAGAGAGTTAGGTTGGAGTTGAGCTGTGAAACGATAGTGGCTACAGGATCTCTAGCGTGAAGATACATGAGGGAAGGAAGAAAGGTGAGTTCAGGAGTAGGCAAAAGGGATGCAATGACTGGTTGGTGAGAACTTAGAGATGTGAGCGAAGTTCTGCACTAAAGTGCTCGCAGGTGAGACTTATAGTTGAATGGGGTTTTGGCCAGGTGGTGCAAGTGCAATAGAGCAGATGAGGGAGGCGCTCAAACTTTAGGGGCGATTAGAATTTGGGGAGCAGCGTGCATAGGCCCTCAATACCTGCAAAAGAGGAACACAATTTTTTCAAGAATGACGAAAATTATTTCCAAATAGTGTCAAGTGTCAATCAGGAATGACGAAAATTAGGTTTTGGAGGTTTGACCTAATTCTGCTTTGGAATTTGGGGAGCACCAATGGGAGGTTTTGGATTTGCAATTGAAGGTGCGTCAAGTGTCAATCAGGAATGACGAAAATTAAGCAGCTAAATTAAGAATTTTCTATAATTATGAGCTTTTTTATTTAAATTATTTCCAATATCTTTATTATGATTTATTTCCCTTTTAGCTGAATATTTAGATATGAAATATGTATTATTAAGTTACCTAAAATAGATTATACAGAATATTTTGTACCTAAAATAGATTGTAAGATTATTATTTAATGGAATGAAAGCAAAGAGAAAAGGAATCGAGCTTATTCAGAATTCAGTATATTTCTCTCATTACTTTGACATTGTATCAAAGCTAAATTTTTGCCCTAACTACCCTTTGTTGTTGGAGGATCGTCGAGGCTCCCTTCCCGCCGGCCTTCTTGCGGGAAGGAACTAATTCTTCGTCTTCGATTCGCCTTCTATCGCTTCATCTTGGGCTTCGGTTACATATGTGTGTGTTCCTCAGTATGGGCAGCAATAGCACAACTTCCTGCTGCGATCTGTGATCCTGTCCATTTGTTATCTCATCTGTGACTCAAGTCTCATCTGCAATCTGCGATCTCGTTCGCTTCGTCCGCTTCGGATCTCCTTCATTAGCCATCGCTGCTTTTGCGAAATCTTCGACTACTTCCGCTTCGACTTTGGCTTCTTCGTCGCACCTAAAGATTGAAGGCATCAAAACTCCTTCCTAGACCCACGACTTCGACATCTCGGCTTTAGCACTTTTGGCGTGAAGATCAGGGAACAAATCATCATCATCGTCGCAGAAAGAATCAGTAGTATTTGGATCGTATAACAGGACACAAATCCTAGTTTTAGGCTATGATCGATAGCATCTGGATCGTGTAACTGGATTTTATTTATGGGCTATGATCGATGGCATTTGGATCAGGACACGGATCCTACTTGTAAGCTATGATCGATAACATCTGGATCGCGTAACTGAATCCTATTTATGGGCTATGATCGGTAGCATTTGGACCAGGACGCGGATCCTACTTTTTGGCTATGATCGATAGCATTTGGGTCGTGTAACTGGATCCTATTTGTGGGCTATGATCGATCGCATTTGGACCAGGACACGGATACTACTTGTAGGCTATGATTGATAACACCTGGATCATGTAACTAGAAGCGGATCCTTCGTGTGGCTATGATTCAAATTTCTGGACGACAATGATAAATGATTTATTGTTTTTCTTTGCTCAAATCATGTTATGGTTCAGGAGTTCTTTCTAAGGTTTCGACATTCTCAACTTCAACACCTTCGGCTTCGACGCTCAAGACTTGAGGATTTTTTGCTCTCGGCAATGTTATCAGTTTCTTGTTGGCAAATTGATGCTTCCTGATTAGTCAGCTCAATTTGAAGGGGAATGTCAATCAAAAAGAATGAAAATTAGAAAACTAAATTAGGAGTTTTCTATAATTAGAAGCTTCCTTATTTAAATTATTTTCAATATCTTTATTATGATTTATTTATCTTTTAGTTGAATATTTAGATTAGGAATATGTATTATTAAATTACCTAAAATTGATCATACAAAATATCTTGTACCTAAAATAGATTGTAAGATTATTATTTAATGGAATGAAAGCAAAAGGAAAAGACATCGAGCCTATTCAAAATGCAATCTATTTTTCTCAAAACTTTGACATTAAGAAGTAGAGGACAAGAACCTCAATGATGGAGGATTGCATATGGTTTATAAATCAGATGGGAGTGAAACGTTGGAATGGGAAGTTCGGATGAGGAGTGGAGCGTTGGAATGGAAAGTTCGGGTGAGGAGTGGAGCAGAGAACTCCTACAAGAAAGAGAAATTTGGTGTGTGAGTTTCAGGCTCACGTGTATATGTTGAGA